TGCTCTAGAAGGCCATCGCGCTGAGGAGGAAATCGCTGGGTTCATCGAAGCGAGAATGTCCCACGGCAACCCTGAACTGTTCTGCCAGTGTGTGGCAGCACGCCTGTACATTTTATATTTAAATTTCATCTGCTGTTCTCAGATTTAGCATATTGCTAAGCACGCACAGATGTCATTTTAGTGATTACGTAGCCATTTGCCTTGCCCACCTGAACACTGGCATTTTCCTCCCTGCCATGCATGTGAGATACTTCTTTGGCCTCCAAAAGGTTTGTCTTGAGAAGCTAATTTATCAAGAAGTTGATCCTTGCTAAGCTGCGACTTCGTCAGGACTTGTAAGGGCTTCCCAGTAATTAAGATCAAATCCGTTCCTGCCGCCTGTTGGAGGCAGATGCCCTCTGGTTTTGTGAGGCAGGTCCCTGGATCGGATGACCGGCTGTTTCTGTTCCTGCAGAATTCTAATTTCACTTACAGCTTCCCCTCACCCTCCCCGGCCTGGCCAGCTCGTGCCTGCGGCCCGACGGTGGGTTTCTTTAGGGATTTTGTACAAAATAGTCAGTGGAAAACCTTCAAGCAAGTTTACAGAGAAAAAATGAAGTAGATGATTTTTATGAATCAGGAAGCAAACTCGTTGCACTGTGCGATGTTTTAGACAGACAGGGAAACCCGATGGCTTATGTCTGAGGCTCCTCCTCCCCCAAAATGTATATTAACCAGCTGGACATAAGCATGTTCCACTTTCAGGTGTAATTGTTTGGCAACAGTTCTTCAGAAAAGAATAAATAATGACTTTTTTGTTCATTTATTTGATTTTCATCTATATATTTTAACCTGTGGACTCAGGGTTAATTTTTGAGGCGCTAGAGATTCCTCTTTCACTCTGAACGTCTACAAGGGACCTACACTGACAGTCCCTGTTGGGGAGGGCAGGAGCCGGAAAAGCTGAGATGCTGGTCCATGGGCTCGAACCCACCTGGGAAACGACACGTATTTCTCTTTGTTTTGTAGAGTCACATTACCTCGTGGAGGTTTGTATTCTGTTCGTTCGTCTCTGGCCCTTACGCTGATGTTGACTGATCTCCTGGCCTGAACGACTAGTCTTATTTTACTTTGCATTATTTTTTTTCTTCCCAAGAATCCCTCCTTCGTAGGCTTTGCTGACGCTGGAATGAAAGTGGAATATGTAATCTTGCTTGCTCCCCGCAGTGGGCACTCCCGCCTGGTTCCCGGAGGTTTTCGCAGATGGTTGGTTTCGCAGATGGATGGTCTTGGTTTTACTTTTACTGCTGAGGACGTGGACTCCTGTTTGGAGCGGGGGACGTGTGTTTAATATGCACAGCTGCCGGTTACTAGGCAGTGGTCAGATTCCCGGGAAGGAATGCTGGTCGCCCCGGGCCCCGGGTCCGGGTGTGGTGTGTTTGTGCCCAGCGACCATGGGCTTGTTAGATCCATGACTGACATTTGCTTCTCAGTGTCTTTGTGAAAGAAATGATCCTTGGGGACTCCTCCAGTTCTAGAGTTCCAAGGAAAAATTAAACAATGTAGCTTTGGTCCCCTTAGACTACCTAGGGTGCTCTTCCCCTTCCGGGGGCTTTGCGGGGAGTTCTAAAGCATCCTGGGTGAAGGTTGGGCCCCTCCTCCACCCCCAGCAAAGCAGCGGGTGGCGGGGACGGAGGATGTGCCTCTGCGTGTGGATGAGTGACTAGAACCAGGCTCTGTTCCTCTCCTCGGAGGCCCAGCTCTGCTCCTGTTCTAAGGTGAGTGTAAACCAGACAGAGTCGCGCACACGCAGGAGGGCCTGAGGCGAGCGAGGCCCCCCACAAACACGGGCATCAGAAGATGGGGATGAGGAAGGCTGGAGGACAGCCAT